TCTGTGTCGTGTCTGTCTCAACAACAAGAGATACCAGGTGGGAGGAGGGGGGAGCAGGTAGTGGGTAGGGCAACCACAGACAGCATAAAAATTTGAAAAATCAACAAGTCCAATATTTCTACCATTGTTCAGCAATCAGACAACTTACCTGACCAAACCAAGTTATAGACCCATCAGTTTACATTTTAAAGCACCTTAGCAAACAGAAAACTTCGTACAAGTAAGGACAGTGTCCTCATGTCACAGACCTTCCAGTCATGAACACGAGGCTTATAGAACTGTGCAGTTTGCTCACACATTAAATCTATCCTGTTTAAGTTTTTCTATGACATTTAGGACAAGATCCACTCCTACTCTCAACAGCCACTCTCAGATTTATTCATAGAATTAGTTAATTATTTACCTTGCTTTTAACCTTCTCCAATTCCTTTTGCAAGCGCAATTTGTCTTTCTCCAAGTCACTGCGGTAGCGTGTAGTAACTTCAAGTGAGGCTTCTGACATGGATTGCTTTTTAAGAGCATCAGCAAGCTCCTGCTGCAGCTGTCTGACCATGCCCTAATGAAACAGGTAAATGAGCATGAAGATGACTAAGGACAGGAAATATACATTTATTTAAACTTATTGGATTATACAATTAGGGCTGTCTTTGGTATGACATTTTGCTTGCCACCAGCAAGCATCTGCACAAATGATGACCTCTCTCCATCCTTCTCAGTGAACACTTCAGGCTCAAATATCGTTCTTCTTTGAATAACACAGAAACACACACTGAAATATACTTTTTTCCTAACGAAGCAAATCTGTTGTGATGTAAGAGTTATAGTTGACTGCAGATATTAATCTGATGACCAAAGACTTTTCATTAGATCATTCTTTGTTCTATTCCTCCACTATTCAAACATAATTAAATTAATAGATATATCCAAAAGCTTTTTTGAGATATATGTTGAATCACATCCTCTTGCAGTCTTCTTACCAAGTTCACTTTAGAGAAATAACTGCCTTTATACTGACAGATTACATTTACAAAAATCTGGACATCTCATGTGTAACTAGTATCTTCAAAAGGAAGTTGTTATTTTGGTAGTAAGAATACATGCTTGAGTTCCCCCTACCCCTTTAAAGTAACTGACAAATGAAGAACATCTGACACATACAGCTATTTAACTCACTCAAAAATTCTGGATTTGTTATGAAGAAAGAAAAGAATTTTAAATCAGTATTCAAATCAGTAACAGAGACAAACTTTACACAAGAGTGTCCAAACACTGAATGCCATTAGATCCTATTTTCCAGAAGGTAAAGGAAGATTAAACAAAATGAGTATCACACCTTTGAAATAATTGCTCTACCTGGAATTAGTAAAATACTCTATCAATAAAGAAGACCCTACCTGCTCCTAGGAACATATTTCATAACGCATTCCCCCACTACTTGTAGGTTTTTCAACTGTCTAGCTATTCCTCACTCTTACACCCACCTTTATTCTCCTCCACCCTTTTTCTTGACAAAAGCAATCTAAATGCAAAAATGGGAACACAATTGGGTCATGCTCATTTGAACAACTTAAAATAATGTTAGTGTTCTGCATAGGAGCATATTTCACACTTATGTACAATGTCAATTCACAGAAAGAAAGTTTAACTGGTTTCTTAATTATCTGTCTGTTCAGTGAATTATTTTTTCAGAGCCACAAAGAACGAACACCTTTAAACTATGGCTACACATAATAAAATTGAGAAAAGAAAGCTTAGATCAGTGTCTGAAATGAACTTCATGATAAATAGGCAGGCCCCTTAGAGCCCTTAAAACACATACATAAATACCTGGACACTACTAATACTCTTCAATTTTCTTAGCAGCTTGTGAGGAAATTATTTTTTTTTTGTCTCTAGGAGCTTAATATAAAGGCATTCCCCACCACTTCATTTGTCTTCATTTCTCAACCCTTGCATATTGGATGGTTCTTCCCTTTATATAACTCTTATTTGTGTCATCTGTGAAATAAATATACATAAACCATCAAATATATACAATCATTCTATAGGGCATAAAATGGACTATGGAAGACAAATAAAGTTCTAGAGAAGAATCACCTTTCTTGACCAAAGATTAGACTTGGATACCTTTCTTCTGTTTTCTGCTCATATCTAAGCAGTAACATCCTGTTTGCCAAAACCTTCCACAATTCCAAGAGAAATATGACAAACCAGAACAAATCAGCATTATCTGGTCCCATGCACCTAAGTTATACCTGATACATTTTAAAAAAAGAAAATAATTTCAAGTATTGAAAAACTTTAAATTGTTCTAAGTATATACTTCACCTCTCTTTCTGCTTTCTCAGTTTCATATTTAGAGACTTGCTCTCTTAAATCAGTACACTTGGCATTTAATTCTTTGTTTTTCTCTTCCACTAGGTAAACTTGCTTTTCAGTATCAGCTCTGAGTTTGTTGAAAATATCATTAAACCGGTCCTGCACATCATTCACTACTTTTTCTTTGATGATCCCCTTGTTCTGCATGTCTTCCAGCTGCTGACGGAGTAGCAGGTTTTCACTCTGGAACTGGGCCAGTCGCTCCTGCATGGACTCCTGCTTTATTATAAATTTGCTTACTTGATCTTTCTCAAGTTGTCGAGCATGGTCACATTCCTTTGCCTGACACTGGGCTTGACTTAATTCTTTTTGTGTCATTTCTAAAAGCAATGCTTTTTCTCTGAGTGTTTGGCTCAGCTGGTGAAGCTCATTTTCTAGACTATTAGCTTTGGTTTCAGCTTTACTCAGCTGCTTAGACAAGCTCTTGTTGCTTTCCCGCACATCAGAGAGCTCATGATGGAGCTTGTCCTGCAAGCGAAGCCATTCATCACGTTCTCTCTGAAATGTTCGTTCAACATCATTTTTGGATAGCTGATGACGTTCAAGTTCTTGATTAGTAGTGTTCAGACGGGAACGAAACGATTCAATTTCTGTCTCTAATCTGTCCCTGCTTTCTTTTGTCTGCTCAAGTTTGGAAGTTAGCACTGCAGATTCTGTCTTTAATAAGTTCAGCTGTCCGTTGTACTGTAAAACAGTTTGCGTTAAGGCTTCCTCGTTCAGTTTAAGCTCCTTTCTGAGATCTTCATTTTTTTCTTTCAAGGTCTCATTTTCCTCTAAATATTCTCCTTCTTCTTCCTGGTGCCTAAGTCTTACTTGATCAAGTTCTAGCCTTAGCATAGCAATCTCATCTTGTAGTAACTGATTTTTGTACAACAGATCCTTTTCTCTCTCAGTGTCGGATTCCTGAATGACAGGGAACATGAATAAATAGCCAGTTGGGAAATGAATCTACAAAGCCACCATCAAACTGCATTTTAACATTTCTAATACTGAACCATAACTTCAAGATGGGGGTGAAATTTCAGGTAATACGTAAGCTAATCAATGAACCCATGGATGTGTACAATGTGTTCACACACTGGAAGTACCCTTAAATGAACATCCCAAATATAAAATACCTTGGTTTTTTTTAAACCAGCAAACAAATAATAAAATGCCACCATCAAACTGCATTTTAACATTTCTAATACTGAACCATAACTTCAAGATGGGGGTGAAATTTCAGGTAATACGTAAGCTAATCAATGAACCCATGGATGTGTACAATGTGTTCACACACTGGAAGTACCCTTAAATGAACATCCCAAATATAAAATACCTTGGTTTTTTTTAAACCAGCAAACAAATAATAAAATCATTTAAAATATCTCAAGTATAAAGCTTTTAAAATTACAGTGCTTTATTGTATATGCATGCCTTTAAAATATTCCTCTTAGAGGTTACCTCAGACATGTTACAAATCTGGTAAAATCTAAGGCTAAAAAGGGTATTTTTCTTCTTGTACTGCCTTTCATTTTGTATCAGCTGTCGAGTGTCTTTACACCAATCTTTTTGTATTACTGAAAGTTAGCTGCACAACTTCACCACCCCTGGAACACAGTAGTCTTGTACATTTCCTGTTTATTTTACATACACAAAAAACTTTTTTCCACATAAACATATTTACCCTATATTAAATAGGCAGCACAGCCAAGAACAAGTAATTATTCAAAGCACTGGATGTTCTTAGTAAATTCAGTAAACTCTTAAATTATTTTTTTTTCCACACAATGTTTATGATTGTTTTATCTTCTCCAATTATTCTAAGTTTTATTAATTGCTGATATTCCCTCACAAAATTTTAGTATGTGGAGGTGGAAAGCAAAGGCATTCTTGAAGTAAGTTAGTTTGATAAGGGAACAAATAATTGGGAAAAAAAACCCAAGTAACACTTTTTTTTCTAACAAGTTAAAGTTAAAATAACGCTTTTGCTAACACAAAGAATGAGTATCAACTTTCTTCCTGGTCAACCCTGACATAGGTATCTAGGTAGTTCACCGCTAGAAACCTGAAACAGTGATAATAGAATGTTAATGCAATATAAAATAACAGACAGCTTAAGAAACAGGGCAAGTAGTGCGTTCTATTAGTTTCCTACTTGGCAAATGCTATTCACATATATACAGGACTGATACTGTTTTCCAGAACTTTTAAAGACATAACGGAAAACATAATAGGCATTTACATAGTTAAACTGCACTGGTAAACTGTAAGTAATCCATAAAGACGCACAAAAAAATATACAAGATTTCTTATGACTTCAGAATGAACATGGTGAAATTTAACTAGAAAAAAATTTCTGCTTACGTCTGAATTTTTTTCTAATGTTCTTCTTGTCTCTTCTTCTAGTTCTTTCTGTCTCCAAAGGTGGTTGTTCAAAATCTCTTCTTGCAGGGCTCTGGCACTCTTTTCCTGAGAGAGCTGTCTCTGTGTTTCATCACGCTCTTCTTCAACCTACAGGAACACAATTAAACTACTGGCATCTTGAAAAAAAAAAAATCAAAGTTAGCAATATTTTTGCATTCTCTCAAATACTTTTACTTCCCCAGTTATGACAATCCATATATAAATTTTATTTTTCTTCTGAAAATGTAAGTATAAATACAGAATGTTTTGTAGAAACTTAGAAAAATAACTCGAGTGAGACTTTGAATGAAGTAGAAATGAAACTTCCATTTTGGAAAAAAAAAAAAAGAAAAATAATTATGAACTTCCAGAGGAAAGAAAAAAAAATCAATTAAAAAACTCAGACCACTTGTGAACCAGCCATTCTCAGAATTTGGCAATAGCTGTGCAATGCCTCCTCCATGAACCAAGTACCTCCTCCTTTAGGCATACCGGAATATAATGCAACTTAAAAAGAATCAGAAAACTAAAACCACACGTGTTTAACTCATTTGATATACCTGTTTCAAGAGCTTTTTCAGTGTTATTAACTCAATTTCTAAATTCTTTGAGTGTAGTTCAAGTTGCTGTTTCTCCTCCATTTCTTTACAACATTGATCTTCCTTTCTTGTTAGTTTTTCTCTTGTCTTCTCATATTGTGTTTCCACTCTGAGCCTCTTTTCCTCTTCTTGTTTCAAAGTTAATCTAGGATTTAACAGAATATTTTAGAAACTAAAGCACCGATATGCAAAGTAGATATTCCACATTATGAACTTGCAGAGAGAAACCATAGAAATATTAAAACCTTTCAGATTCCATTTTTACTGTAATTTTTACTTTTAAAAAATTCTAACTTCATTCCATTATCCATGGTAACAGTTGGATGATATAGAATTAAACCACTAAGTGATTTACCATTTATTCGTAATTTTACATACAAATATAGAGAAGTGTCACATGCCTATAATTCTTAAAATTATCTTCATATTACAGACACAATTCAAAAGGAGTTGTCTTGTGAGATCAGAGGATCATAAACTTTTACTATAATTATTATATATTTTCTTAATATGCTGAGCATTGCCTACATAGCCTACACATTATGGATTCAGCAGTGATTACAGATAATACTGAAGGAGCAGCACACCACTTATCACCAACAACTGTCCAGCAAACCTTCTCAAAGTCCAAAACAACTGCTAACCACAGGAAGAGTATGTACTTGTTAATTCCTCAAGAATGAGGACAGTGTTCAAAAACAGATCTAAAAATGCACAGGGAGAAACAACAGCAATTTAATTTAGAAGCCAATTTATAATGAAAGCCTTCAGGAATGTCAACATCTTTACTAACTGAAACAATCAGCAATAAGCAGCAAAATGGTAACAAATGGTCCATGGTGTGTCCATGGGACCCAAACAAGAAAGCAGTTTCATGCTTATTAATTATTTTGAATTTTTTTTTTTTTTTATATATCCTTGCAACAGTCAACCAGAAAAAAAAACAGTATTAACAAAAGGAAAGAGTTGCCAAGTGAACATCTGCAAATTTGGAAATTCTGCAAAATAAGTATCAACAACCACTAATAAATTATCCAAATTGACAGTAACATTTGTATTCAAGTTATTGTTCTGCCAATGACTAGGCCTAACACGAATGACACGACCAGCAGAAAGACGAACCAATGGGTGGAATGCATTGAATACAAAAAAGGACATTCCATGAATGATTGCTGGGGGTACAAACAAGTCAATTAGATCACATACAACTGACATTAACACCAACGATCCCAAAAAAGACATAACCCA